ATGGTGCTGTATCGTGAATACGACGCGAACCAGAGTGCTTGCAAGTGCAACCCCTTCAGACGTGACTTATTCACAAGACAGCACTAGCCTTGAGTACCGTGTATTGCTTTTCTAAAGCGATTGCCACTCAATAATCATAATAAAGCAAAACAAAAATGTATTAGTGCAACTTTCATTAAGTAAAATCACCAAAAGCCTTCAACCTTCCGCTGGAAAAAAAATAGTCCCTGGCCGTGAGCAGCAGCATAAGTTAAAATATTTCGCCTGTAAAGTTAGATGGCGGCAAAGACAGTCTTTATTACTGAGTCAGTCATCAGTCAGTAGAGAAGACTTTAATATTGAAAGGACAATTGCATTATGTTGGCATTATGTATAAAACTGGGTCATCTCAGTTTGGTTGAAGGCTTTTGGTGATTTTACTTAATGAAAGTTGCACTAATACATTTTTGTTTTGCTCGCGCCGCTCGCGTCCTGTCTGTGTAGTAGACACGGTGGCGTTCTAATCAATTTTACACAAAATATTACACAAAATATACTTTAAAACAAACACCAGAGACCGCTTAGACAAATGTATCACGTGCTGAGAACGCTAACCTAACAAACACAAAATCATTCTTGTTTAACTTACCTCCGGGCGATTCATGATCAGAGTCAGAGAGCGGCAATCTCTTGAACCACCACATTCGCACTGGAAAACTTCTGCAGTCCCTAATTGGCCAAAATGCTCTGTTCGACTTTTCCGAGATCATCTACTCTTCCCTGTGACCTACTTTCTGTAAGACCTGAATTTGACATTGAATTTTTGACATTGAATTTTAGAAAACTGAATTTGACGTTCCGAATTTCTTCATCTTGAAAACTTGAATCCGTATTTTTTTAAACTGAAATTTTGCAGTATTTGAATTCAAACACAAAAACTAGCTGTTTGAAAATACATGTCTATAAAATTCAGCCATAAAAACCTTTCAGTTTGTTAAATTTCAGATGTTAAATATTCGTTCCAAAAAAATTCAAATTCAGAACTATTTAAAATTCAGTTTTGTTAGATTACACTTGCAAATAATTCAAATTTACACAATTCAAATTCAAATCATTTTGTCATATTATTAGCTCCATACAGAATAGCCAGCGTAAACCAAGTTTCTGTACCACAGTCCATTATAAACCACATCATGGATAAAGTTTCAGGTGAGGATCAAGGGTCTTAATACATAATATAATAATAGTAATCAGCTGATTGTCTCACGAACGTAACCAGCACATTCTCCCCACATAGCAAACCCATAATACAGCGAGGGAGAAGAACCACATGAAACTATGCAACTATATATTTTTTCTAACAGGGTAGTAAAAGTTTAGCTGGCTAATATGAGCTGTTACTGTGGCTGAGCTGGTTAAAGCGTAAAGCCTTGTTTAAACTCGACGCGTCCGCATGAGCCCAAAGGTGCGTGCGGCAAAAATGACGTGATTGTAACAGCGCGCGCGCCTCCGCATCCCCTAGACACACTTACTACACACAATAGGCTTTTAACTCTGATTTTGGAAACTCGATCGACTTAGGCTGCGTTCACATATCGCGCCTAAAAACGCGTAGAAAACGCTGGGCGCGCCGCATTCTTTTTTTTCAAAACGCTAGGGCGGTTGCGCTCCGGTTGGTTCTTGTCACGTGACCTACTGTGCGCTTATGGTGCGCTTGCGGCATTCTGAAAAGTTGAGATGTTTTTATCTCGATGCGGCGCGGACGCGCCTGGAAAAAACGAGCGCGTCGCTTCCATTATGAGCGCGCAAACCGCGCGCCTCCATTTGAAATAATGAACTTGAGCGCCCAAAAGACGCGATATGTGAACGGGCCCTTAAAATGCTTCCAAGATCGACGGGTTGGTGATTCCTGTAACTGTTTTACGGTCAATGACAAGAGTAGCCTACTAATCAGCTGTCTCACGAACTTAACCAGCACATTTATCCCCACATAGCAAAGCCATAACACAGCCAGGGAGAAGAATTAAGTTACATGAAACAATCCAACTACATATTTACACCACTGACAAGGGAAAAGTCACTACTCACGGTGTTTATGACTAGCTTCTTCTAGCTTCCTGCGGCTTCTCTTCCAAGGTAGTGACGAAACGCGCTCTGTAGAGCTGTTTGTTCGCGTTCGGCTACTGTAGAAACATGACGTCACAATATGGCGACCTTCATAGAAGGGGATTCCCGCGCCTATGTAGATATAAATGCCTCATTCTAAGGTAATAAAAACATTACGGTTTATTAAGTAAGTTCTTTATACACCACTGAACACATAGTTATGGATGTCATATTGCATTTCTGTTAATAAATACTCAAAAATGTTACACACTGCACCTTTAAAAACGGTTTAAAGGCTAAAATGTGAGGTTTATCATTTTGTAACCTTTTATTAAAAAATTCAATTAAACATTTTGTGCATGTTATTTTTTAAGTCACCCAAGCAAATTTTTTTGTCTAGCTATTTACAATCTGGCTGTCGTTCTTAATGTTATTATTTTAATGTTTATGCAAACAAAAATTGCATAGCGCTGTTCATTTTATTTGTTTGTTGGTTTTCGATATAAAACTGATTTCAGTGTGTGTATCAGTACTTTTTGAACATTTCTATCGTATTTTAACAATACAGTTTTAATACCGATAACAGTGATCATTTCAGTCAATACAATCGTGATATGATATTTTCATACCATTACATCTTTACTGGTAATGCTCAAATCTGTGCTACAGCCAGACAGGCCTGGCAATTCATCTGTGATATGTAAAGTTTAAGATTAATGCCTCATCTCACACCTACTGAATTCTTAATGGAAATGTGTCCAGTATCCAAAATATACTCCACATAATGCATGTGCTATTTTTAAAGGCATTATACCGTAAATATGATTCCAGGCTGAGAGCACTTCTGACTGATTATTCAGTCGTCACTCTTCCTCAAGGGTTTTTAAACAAATCTGTTACCAGGGGATCGCCCCAAACAAAAGAAATGTGAATTTCCTGACTTTATGAGTATTTTAGATTTATTACCAGCCTCCTACAAGCCAATTAACCTCACAAAGCATAGATAGATGCTCCTTTTGGAAATTTCATGGTAATTCTACAGGTAAGCTCTTAAAATGGCACAAAGGTCTCTTTGAAATTCATATTACCCAGGCCGTGCAGATAATCACACAACAACAGTGGCTTTAGAGGTTTAGTATGTACAGTTTGCTGTCTTATGAATATTATTTTATTAACATTGTCTAAATAATGTTTTTATAATTGAGAAAATGTATTATGTAAATTATATTAAAACTGAATCAAAAAAGAGAATTAAAAAAGTTAGTTTTTTGTTTTATTTACTAGAAAACAAAACAAACATATCAGCTGAGGTAATAGTCGACTGTGGTGTACATAATTCTTTTTAAAAATGTAACCGATGAAGGGCCCAATTATCAAGAAACAAGCTTGTGATATTCCAACCTTCTTGGAGATATGGGAGCCTCCGATGGACCTGCCATAAACTCTTAAAATATCCTGTATTATAACTTAATAAAGTGCCCATAGACCACACAGACACAGAATAATTCATTATTTTACCATTCTTCCTTTGAATTGTTTTGTTTTTATGTATTATATTTGTAAAGTATCTATTAGTTTTTATATTTTGTATTTTAATAAAGATAAAAACATAATAATAAATAATAAAATAATTAATGAGCTTGAATAATGTCCATAAAAACACCTAAAAGGAGCATGTACAATATTCCGAGCTGAGAGTTGTAATACAACAAATATAACATACAGTCTGTTTTATATTTTTAAAAAGCAGAGTAAATGTTCATGCTTTTGGAAAATAATAAAGACCGTCAGAATGTGAAGAATATGACATACTCTTTCTCTATCTTCTATAAAGAGAAGACTTTCTGAAATACACTTTCGCACTGATCTCTACGCTTCCAGCATCAAACCAACACCACTGTTTCTGGCAGCAGTGCAGCTAATGGTGTTGACTCCTGCTACCCACAATCCATTGTCCTATGTACACCAGCGTGGCTGTTCCATCCTCAATCTTGAATGGTAAACTGCCAATCACAATTAGCCAACTTGCCAGCTAAATTTATATATACTTGTATAATAAAATATGTTTGCCTTCTTGCATTCACACTCTAATGTTGTTCTTGCCACTTGAGATCTAGCCTAAAGTCAACCACCTGCTTTGATATCTGCCAATTACACAATATGCACAATTAACTTTGTAAAGAAAACATTCAAAATATCATCAACGCTAATGCAAGTAAGGCTTCCCCTGGAGTTGTTAGCGAGAATGACAAACGGGCAGGTCCTTATTGACCAGATGAAGCATAGTCCTCCTCATTACACATGCATATGTGCTGGCACAGCCAGTCCTACAATAAGAGATGAGTCAGACTTACCGAAAGCCCTTATAATAATAGAAACACGCTGAATTAATATCTGATCCTGCTTTAGCATCCGATTTCACTTTTTTCCTCAATCAAATCAATATAACCACTCAATACTCCCTCAAAACGGTCATATCACAGATCCCTTGCAAAATAAAAAAAATGTGAAATGATAAGCAAGACCATCACTTTAAAATTTCATAGGCTTGTTTAGCTTATAAAGTGGTCTGCATCAATAACTGCATTAAACGTTGTTAATCAATACCGACGCAGAGAGCACTGGCAGCAAATTGATGTGTTACGTCAATACAGCCTACATTCCCAGCATTGCTTCCTAAAAGTCCAGTTTGTCGGCCTCAGATTGTGTAAGCATCTTCCAAAATAATATATTGAGCAAAGCATCAGCTTAAACAATGGAGCTAAGTCGTACAGTTATCGAAAAGCATGGCCAAGAACCAACTAAATGGACCGATAAAACTTCCCATCCATTCTTATCCACCTAGCAGCCCCAAAATCAATTCCAATCAACCCGCCAGAGGTCAGAGGAGAGGCTTCTTGTGCTCAGATACTCACACTCACTGTACTGCTGCAGCTGGGAGAATTCGGCTGGGCTCAGACACACCCAGTCTCCCATCTCGCTGATCAGAGCGCTTGCGGCGAGCTGAAGGAACCAAGCTGATTGTCCTCAGGTGAGGTATGAGAAAGAGATGGTATGATCTGGCATGTTCATATTGTTTTCCTTTACGAGCAGATGGTGAATTGGTGTCCCTGATGAGAATTGGCGAAACAAGGGAGGGTGCAAGGACGAGGGCAGTGTGAAGGTGAGGTGCGTGCCGTGCCACCGGTCGGAGTAGCTCTGCTGTGGTGAGATGACTGGTGCACACGGATGAGCAACTGATGACCTGTCAACCGGAGTTATCTATAGAGTAAGACAGAGAGAAAAACAGATTTAATAACGTCTCTAAGCTGACTTAAGGTTATCGACTCATGTCAAGCATTATTTATTATATTTTTACTACAAGGTCTCTGCAAACAGACCAATGACAACAGAGCCTGTGTGCCTATAATATCTCAATTGTTTCTCCTAGAGAGGAAATGGTGAGAACATGAAGACTTTTGCTTAAGTCCTGCTTCTCCAGAAGTCTCACATGTGTCTCCTCTAGAGCGTTCATCCATCATTTTCATTCTAGCCAATAATACCATATATTTAATATATTTTCAATATTTTATTTCATTTAACATAGAATTTATTACACAAACTTTTAGGCTACAAAGGTCATGATTTTTTTCAGAAGCTGCATCTGAATTGCTATTTAGATATATTTATAGACCAAAACAGTTTGGTTACCAACATTCTTCAAAATATATTCTTTCATGTTCCACCCAAAAAAAAAAGAAAGTCATACAGGTTTGAATTGACACAAGGGTGTGTAAATGTAAACTAAAAGCATGTAAAATAAATGGACACCTCAGATCACTTCCTCCTCACTCTTAACCTCAACCTGGCTCAGGACACAACACTCACTCCTCCACAGGTCATCTTTCGACGTAACCTACGCTCACTTTCACCCTCCCGCCTATCCCCTTTGGTCTCATCCACACTTCCTCTCCCTAATCAGCTCTCATCACTAGATACTAACAGTGCAACTGACTCTTTTTCTCCACTCTAACATCTTGTTTAGACAATTTTTGTGGTTTGTTGTTTGCATTTCCTGCAGAACATTTTCAAGGAAGAAACTGCTAAAGACACATCTATTTCGCCAACATTTGACTCAATATTTCATTTGTAAGTCCTTCTTTGGATAAAAAAAACCTTTCTTTTTGGATAAAAGCATCTGCTAAATGATTAAATGTAAATAAACAGAATTTTCATTTTGGGGCAAACTATCACCAAAATATGAAATCATTTTTTTAGTGAAATGATACTCTAAATAAGAAAGGTAAGTTCAACTTGTGCAGACCGATTGGTGTATGACATCAAAGAACGCAGAGAGCGTTTCGAAAGGTCTGCAGTCTAATCTCTCTCATGGTACTTTGATGTCATTCACCGATAGGTGTATTGTCGCTTCAAGTTGAACACAACTATGGCTCTCTTTATGAATGGGCCATTGAATCATTGCTTCACCCGATTGATTCACTCAAAACGCGGATTCATTGCAAATGAAACACCACTGTCTGTGTGTTGCTCAGAGACGTAGGCCTAGCTGGCTTTAGGCCGTGTGTCCACCAAAGCGTTTTTAGCCAGCTGAAAACGCTAGACGCTCTGCTGAAAACGCCTAGCTGTGGGCGCATGAGAGCGTTTTGGCAGCGCAGCGTTGAGACGTTTTGTTGCTATGATACAGAATATCCGCAGCACAGTTTACTTGTAACTGATTTCGCAGATAATTTGTTTCATACTAAAAAATGATATACCATCCATTTTGTTCGGTTTGCTCTGCTGGTTGATGTCGTTGTACAGAAAGAATGTTGTGACAGTTGGTCGGTGTGGTATTAGCCCCGCCCCTCCTCCACTGTGATTGGACGGCTGGGTAAAAAGTGACAGTGATGAGCGCTGCGTTTTACCCAGATCCGTTGAAAAACAGAGTTGCGACACTCCCATAGACCGCCATAGGATCTTTGGAATACGGAAGTAACGTGTGTCGTGGAGCGGCCAATAGTTCCAAACACTGATAGTTCCAGCATGGAACCCAATTCATTATTAGTGTTTCCGAAGTACGCTCGCTGGTAAATTAATGAAATTACTGTATTTTTTTTTACTTTTACACACATTAGCCGACCTCTCGTGAATCTAGTCAGTAGTTATATTTTATGTAGCCAGTTTTAGTTAATGTTTATTGGAAGATAATAGGTTAATTGCAGCTATAGCTTACGTGACCAACACACTAACGTTAGCTAACTTACGGTAACCTGATGTATATAATATATAATATTATTAATAATAATATTTTATATATATATATATATAATATTAAATATATATATACATACACACACAATTCATTTATTTAAATTGGTTAGGGTTATGTGTGTATATATGCATATATGTCAAAATGTGTGTTTGTGTAATACATATACATAAATACACATGCATTCAAACGTACGTATATACATGCATATATATATATATATATATATATATATATATATATATATATATATATAGTATATATCCATTCACAATATATTATGTGTATGGGTTAGTCTATGATTAGGGAAGGATGAAGGGGTACATTAGCCAAACTGAAATGAATCCCGTTAACAGTTATGGATCGTATGTTAAAAACTTACATGTTATGGAACATAGTTAATTAACTCATTAACTATCTCTCCAGTTTCATTTTATGAAGTTAAAATTTTACCGAACATTGCTGCAAATATAGTCGTTGCTGTTAATGCATTCTATGTTATGGGAGCAGTCCATTTCCCTCCAAAATTAAACACAAAAACGTATTAATGATGTGTTTCTGTCTCCCCAGAAAAAAAATGCTATTATATGTATTTAAAGTAAGCATCAACATAATAATCAATGTCCATTATGCGTCAATATTTACCAAGGGCGTAGGTTTGGTTTTGAAATTGGTGGGGACATTCCCAGAAGCTGAGGAATCAGGAAATGAATAGGATTAATAAGGATAATATTAAGGGTTTTAGTCTATATTGACCTTAACAGTACGTAAATGAATTCTGTAATGTTATGGTAACTATTAAAGACAAGAAGGGAGTTTAACAGAGACTTAACTTTACTCCGTTCATAGTGCAGTGCAATAGTGCAATACAGTCTTGTTCCTTGCTTTTTGAAGAAGCCAAACACATGTCTGCATCTGTCATTAAAGTGATAGTTCACCCAAAAATTAAAATTCTGTCATAATTTACTCTCCTACAAGTTTCAAACCCTTATGAATTTCCTTCTTCTACTGAACACAAGATATTTTGAAGAATGTTGTCCAAAATTTCAAACATTTAAATCTTGTCCTTGTGGGGATTTTCTTTCTTTTCTTTTTTTCCTTTTTTGGACACCGGCTTATAAATCATACTAAGTGATGTTTTTACTAAGTTTCAGTGTTCTTTGCGCGCGCACACACACACACACTAAAGATTATTTGACGCTATTTGCCCCGTATTGTTGTGCACAGAACTGTAGATTACTCCCTAGTTTACCGCATCTAGATTTCCTTCGGAGGAGCTTTGCCGCTTCGCACAACCAAATGTAACTACAGCCTCTCACAAGTTAGAAAGAAAACACAAAGCCAATCAGTTTAGCGATGTGTGTTAAGCAGGCGGGACCTAGATCTATTAACCGTTTGTGTTCCAGGATTTGCGCATTTTTCTCAGAATGCCTTTTTAAGAGATTTTAATCTAAATGAGATGTGTCCTGGTTAAATAAAATAAGAAATACATAAAAACCACAAGACCCAACCGGGCAACAGTGTATATATATATAAATATATTTAATTTTTTTATCGAAATTATTGCTAGGGACAAATTAGTGTCACTGGATATTGGTAGGGACACGTCCCGTCCCTACTAAATTCTACGCCCCTGATATTTACCAATAATTGCTTCAAATATAGCTGCTGCTGTCTGTCCCGCTTAAAATCATTCAAACTGGTTGACAGCGCGGCTCTGTTTGGAACTATTGAGAGCTACACAAACGTGTTGCCAACTATTTTCAAAGGAAAGTAGCTAAGGCCTTCCCTAAAAGTCGCTAAATGTCGCTAGATGACGTCATACGTCACTTAGCATATTAATGACGTCATTGCATCGTAGGCCTACTTGCGTTCTGTCAGCCTAGTGCGTTTCCTCTCTTCTAAATTAATGCTCTATTTAATATAATATAGCCGAATGTCAAATAAAGCTGTTCTCATTTCCTATTTTTTTGTTGTCAGACAATAGAATGAGTAGCTATAATATAGTGAATGATTACATTTTTATAGGCCTATGTGGAACATTATCTGAATTGAGAGAGTTAGGGAACCGGATGAACTAAGCTCTGTGATAGTGAGTGTTACAAGTAATAAGCACAAGAAAATAAATAAAATTAAAATGGTCAAACAAAATTCTTTAAATATAAAACAAAAGAAAAGCAGATAAGTGATAAGTCCGTGGAAAAACACTGCTCATTCGCGTCTGTCAGCGGCCGTGCGCTCCTCTCAGCCATTCACTGAACGGTAGACACAGCTAGAGTGACGACAGGGAGAAAGCAAGACCTCGCGCTCGCAGTACTGGCAACATTTGGAGGTTACTGAGGTTTGTCCGAAAAGTCGCTAAAAATAGCGACAAAGGCGCTGGCAACACTGAACCACGTGACCGCGTGGCGGCGAGATCAAAGAGTGTCGCAACTCTCATATTTAACGGCTCTGGTTTTACCCAGAGTTGAACATTTTTCAACTCTAGGCGACCAGTAAAAAACGCCGGGCTTCAGCGTGAAAAAACTGCTCAGCGCCACGCTCATGGCGTTTAAAAAAGGCGGCGCTCCCATTGAAAACAATTGAAAACATATGCCAGGCGCGTGAAAAAACACGATGGTGGACACACGGCCTTATAGGTAATATTTTCGTTTTGTAAAAATTTAGCAAAAATTTAAACAATATTGCGTGTAAAATATATACTACGCTCGTTACTCATTTGATATTGCTTAACTATAAATTTGATATAAATATTAGTGGGAGGTAAAAAAAAAAATCAATCGATCACGATTCTCTCTCCAACGATTCTGGATCGATTCTGAGCTTATAGTTTTTAACCAGATGATACTGCGTACGCTTTAGAAACAACCATTCTGCTTGCTTCCAATTCCTCACACACACACACACACACACACACACACACACACACACACACACACACACACACACCACTCGAACATCAATAAAATAATCTTTCATAAAGTTCAGAAAGGTTGAAACAAATGACAAGGAC